GAGTCCGTTCATATTCCAGAGTTTGTGAGGGCTTCATTACAGACGTCGAAAAAGGCCAAGGTTTAGGTGAGGCTTCTTACCTGTTGGTTTCCCATCCGTCATCTCTGCTTCCTTGTAGTTCGATGGCCGTGACTGTCCGAGAAGACAAAACCACGACCGCAACGTTTATGGAAGATGACAAAGCAAGCGAGCTTTGCAGTCCAGAAAGGTAGGAAACACAGATGCCAATAAAACACACGGTGGTTATTACGAGATATTTGCAGGCTGATTCTGCCGACTGCCAGGTGTTCGATCCCGACCGGCTCAAGGTTGACTCAGCCTTCCATCCTTCCGAGGTGGGTCAAATGAGGACCCAGATTGTCGGAGGCAAGAGGTCACCGACCACTTAGAGACTGCTGTAAAGCACTGTGAAGCGGTATATAAGTCTAAGTGCTATTGCAATAGAGAGAGAGATGGATGGATGAATAGACAGATGCTGTGGTGGCACCATGGTTAGAATGCAGTATTGCAGGCTAACTCTGTCCACTGCCAGCAGTTCGATCCTGACCGGCTCAAGGTTGACTCAGCCTTCCATCCTTCCGAGGTGGGTCAAATAAGGACCCAGATTGTTGGGGGACAAGAGGCTGACTCTGTAAACCGCTTAGAGAGGACTGTAAAAGTACTATGAAGCAGTATGTAAGTCTAAGTGCTATTGCAATAGAGAGAGAGATGGATGGATGAATAGACAGATGCTGTGGTGGCACCATGGTTAGAATGCAGTATTGCAGGCTAACTCTGTCCACTGCCAGCAGTTCGATCCTGACCGGCTCAAGGTTGACTCAGCCTTCCATCCTTCCGAGGTGGGTCAAATAAGGACCCAGATTGTTGGGGGACAAGAGGCTGACTCTGTAAACCGCTTAGAGAGGACTGTAAAAGTACTATGAAGCAGTATGTAAGTCTAAGTGCTATTGCTATTGCTATTGCTAATCAGTTGAGATCTCTTCTTACCTTTCTATCATCCTCACACAGGGGTTTTCGGCACAATTGGCCAAAAAGATAACACAGATCAAGAAAGTTCTTGGAAGACGCGAAAATCAAGAAACTCCTGCCACTTTTTGTACGGATAACGTGTTTTCGGTGTTGTTTTTTTAAACAATTAAAGTGCTTTTCTTTCCCCTGAAAAAGAAAGGAAGGCAAGTTTAAATTAAGTGATGGTTCATTTGTTTTGCTTCTCTTCTCTTGCTCCTTTATGCATGGCATGGTTATTTTAGTTTAAATTAGCTTTATTTAAATTAACATTCAAGTCAGTTTCCCTAACAGTGAGGGGGGAAAGGAAAATTAAACATATAAACCCATTAAGAGAATAATAATAAGCTATATTGATTAGTCTATAGGCCGTATCAAAGCACAGAGTTCAAACACATATCACCCATAAAATCTTACACAAACAATTTAAAATAAGGATAAGGTAAAATACAATGGTGATAGGGTAAGATACAATAGAATTTAACTCATAAATGTGTAAAATAGAATAAAATGACATAAAATGCAGCAACAGTCACCAATATGACCCAGTCGCCAGTCACAAGCCAATTTTTTCAGTAGTTGTAACTTTGAACCGTCACTAAGCAAGCTGTTGTAAGTCGAGGACTACCTGCATAGAAAACAGGGTTTGAAACCACACTGCGGGCCCCAGACCTCAAGAAAAGCTGCGGAGGGTTAGGCTTTTGGCTGAGACTGATGGGTGCTGTAATCCAAGTGGTTGAATGTACACCGTCTCACTCTTAAGACGACTCTCCTGCTACAGAGGGTGATTCTCCGGGAGGTTTCAACTCGGGACGGCTGAAAGATAACCTCCCTGAGCAAAGTGTCTCTGGAGAGTCTCAGTCCTCCGGTCATGGTTGTCCCAAAGATGCTTTTTCCAAGAGGCAAATTTGGGACAACCGAACATCAACCGAACATCAAAAGCGTCATCAAAAAAGCACAACAAAGAATGTTCTTTCTGCGCCAACTCAGGAAGCTNACAACGCTCTTGCTTAGCAACCAAAATGTTGGCTCAGGAACTCTGGCATTTGAAGCACGCAAGTCTTAAAGCTGTCAAGTTACAAGACCCTCGCATCCCTAACCCTTTAGAAAAAAAAAAAAGCCAAGGGTGTTCAAAGTTGACAGCTTTAAGACTTGTGGACTTCAACTCACAGAATTCCTCCTCTCGCTCTTCATCTTGATGATGTGCGGACGGGCGGGGCGGGGAGCTGGAACCGGTTCTAAACGGCAATGTAGATTTGTGGAACCTCTTCTATAGAGGAGGTTAGAACTGGCAGGAACCCACCCCTGATGCAAAGCCTCTGGTGGGCAAGGCAGAAAGCCAAATGATGGAGTGAGCCTCCTATTTTCTTCTTCTGCCTCACCTTTCTCGGTCTCCCCCCCCCCAAACCGAAATTAGCCAATTGTATAGCACCCTGATGGCGAACCCATGGCACAGGTGACACAGGTGACACACGGAGTCATATTTGCCAGCCAGCTGATTTTCGGCCTTCCAGAGAGCCAGGGAAGGCCATTTCCGTCCTCCCCAGGCTTCAGGAAAGCCTCCGGAGCCTGGGGAGGGTTCCACGCGCATGCGCAAGGGGAGGCAGATTGTGCGTGCATGTGTGCAGGAGGGGTCACACATGCACAGGTGGGTGGGGCTCATTCCACAATTTTGGCAAGCCTTTACAAAAACGATCGCCGTCATTGGTGTATCATCTCCCCCAAAATTCTGATCAAAAGTGTGGCAATTATACTGGAGTGGAGAATCTTGGAGAGTATCCAAGGAGAACGAGAGATATTTTTTTTAAAGTAATTATTATTATTATTGCCTAATTTCTTTTCTTCTTTCCCTCCCTTTCCTGAAGGGCCTGGACTGCCTCTGGAGCACGCAAGCCTCTTTTCAGAAGTGGAGCCTTGGTCAGAGCAGACGGGCCCACCCCCGCTGTGTCTCCGGTTAAGAGCTAGCATCAGTGTTTTTAACGTGAGTTTTGGGCAAGCTGAGAAGGATTTCCCTGCGGGGAGAGGAGAGGGAAGGGGCTGGATAAGAATCATCAGGATTAGCAGTAGCCCTTAAGACTTATATACCGCTTTACAGTGCTTTACAGCCCTCTCTAAGCGGTTGACAGAGTCAGCCTATTTGCCCCCCAAAAATCTCTGGTCCTCATTTGACCCTCCTCGGAAGGATGGAAGGCTGAGTCAACCTTGAGCCAGTCAGGATCGAACTGCTGGCAGTGGGCAGAGCTAGCCTGCACTACTGCATTCTAACCACTGGAATTGATGGGAGGGAGGGAAGGAAGGAAGGAAGATAGCACTAGTATTTAAGACTTATATACCGCTTCAAAGGGCTTTTAGAGCCCTCTCTAAGCGGTTGACATAGTCAGCCTTTTGCCCCCAACAACCTGGGTCCTCATTTTATTGACCTCGAAAGGATGGAAGGCTGAGTCAACTTTGAGCCTGGTGAGATTCAAACTGCTGGCAGTGGGCAGAGTTAGTCTGCAATACTGCATTCTAATGATTGCAGCACAACAGCGTCTGTGCATGGGCGTGAGTGTATCTATCAGACCTATTAGACCTATTAGATCTCATCGATTAGGCCTCCTCCGAGTTCCATCTGCCGGTCAATGNCAAGGACAGTTTTTCCCCAAATGCCATCACTCTGCTTAACAACTAATTCCCACAACTGTCAAATAATTTACAAAGACTGTATTACTATTATTGTTCTCTTCCTTCCTAGTATCTATCTCTTCCCACTTATAACCATGTTGCTTGTATCTTTCAATTTATATTGGTTTTGTTTCCTAGTACAATTTGACTGCTTATTTGTACCCTATGACTATCACTAAAGTCTTGTACCTTATGATTCTTGACGAATGTATCTTGTCTTTTTATGTACACTGAGAGTCTATGCATCAAAGACAAATCCCTTGTGTGTCCAATCACACTTGGCCAATAAAAGATTCTATTCTGTTCTGTTCCTATCCCTATCTCCATTCCCATTCCTATTCTATCTGGACTATCTGCTTTTTTTTTTCTTCAAAGACATTTTGCTTCTCATCCAAGAAGCTTCTTCAGCTCTGACTAGATGGTTGGGAATTGAGTTGAAGAAGCTTCTTGGATGAGAAGCGAAATGCCTTCAAAGGGGGAAAAAAAACAAAGTCCAGATAGCATAGGAATAGGAATAGAATAGGAATGTAAAACACATTCAGCTCTGACTGGATGGTGGGAAATTGAGCTGAAGAAGCTTCTTGGGTGAGAAGCAAAACGTCTTCAAAGAAAAGAAAACCAGAAAGTCCAGATAGAATAGGAATGGAGATAGGAATAGGAAGAATAGGAATGTAAAATATATTCAACTCTTGACTGGATGGTGGGAAATTGAGCTGAAGAAGCTTCTTGCATGAGAAGCGAAACGTCTTCAAAGAAAAAACAGAAAGTCCAGTAAACAGTAACAGAGTTGGAAGGTACGTTAGAGGTCATCTAGTCCAACCCCCTTGCTCACGCAGGAGACCAGGACTAGGGAACTGCCGAGCTTTTGATCCACAAGCTCAGTGCCTTAGCCACTGAGCCACCTAATTGTCTCTTGGGGCGGGGGGGGGGACCCCTTTGGGACTCCCCCGGGCAAAGCAAAGCAGGGCGCTTCCTGGGGAGGGGGGAGAGGGGATCAGCCCAGCTGCGAGCCAGCCACGTGGAGGGCCGGCCCCTCGCTTCCGCGTCCGCCTTCTCCCCAGCCAATCCGGGTCCGCCGCTCCAGCGCCCCACGTGGCCAGGCCTGGAACGCGCAACCTACCTTGCTGGCTTCACTCGCTTTCGCTCCCGCCGCTCTTGGCGGGTCTCGGCCAATGAGGAGCCCGTTTCCCGAACTGTCGCGGCTTCCCATTGGGCCCGCCGTTTGGGGAAGGGCCGAGGCCACGCCTCCTGAGAAGAAGAAACCGGGTTGGGCTGCGGCGCGGACAGGTGGCAGGTGGCCCAGGGAGGGTGGGAGGGAAGCCGCTCCTCCTCCTCCTCCTCCCCCCCTCCCTTCCCCATCGGCCCTTTGCAGCGAGCCGAGGCCGGGCTGGGCGGGCATGGAGGCGGCTGCTGCAGCCGGAGGATCCGTCTCGCAGGAGGGCTGGTTCCGCGAGACCTGCAGCCTGTGGCCCGGGCAGGCGCTCTCCCTGCAAGTGGAGGAGGTGCTGCACCACCAGCGCTCGCCCTTCCAGGAGATCCTGGTCTTCCGCAGGTGAGCGCGCTCGGGAAGGGGCTCCGGGGGTCGCAACCCGCGATCGCGGCAAAGGCGGTGCCCAGCTGCAGCCTCGGTCCTCCTGCCGCCTCGGCTTTTTCCCCCACTCCTGCCCCCCGTGGAGATCTGCAGAGTGGGAGCTCCGCAAAGGAGTCGCCGCGCGCTCCATCCCACAAACGGCAATCAGAGTGAATAGGAAGGGACCTTGGAGGTCATCCAGTCCAGCCCCCAAGGCTCACGCAGGAGACCTGTGGGTCCTCCCAAGGAGCCGCCGTGCGCTCGATCTCACAAACGGTAAACCGTAACAGAATCGGAAGGCGCCTTGGAGGTCATCCAGTCCAGGCTCCTGCTCATGGGTCCCCCCAAGGAACCCGCCGCCGGGAGCTCGATCCCACAAGCGGTAATCAGAGTGAATAGGAAGGGGTCTTGGAGGTCATCCACTCCAGTCCCCTGATCACACAGGAGACCTGTGGGTCCCCTAAGGAGCCGCCGGGCGCTCGATCCCACAAGCGAGGTTCAGTGAACAGGAAAAATAGAGTCGGAAGGGACCTTGGAGGTCATCCAGTCCAGCCCCCTGCTGATGCAGGAGACCTGTGGGTCCCCCAAGGAGCTACCATGTGCTTGATCACAGTAAATAGTAACAGAGTCGGAAGGGGCCTTGGAGTCGAGTCCAGCCCCCTGCTCACGAGGATCAGCAAACAGTAAAAACAGATATTGGAAGTCATTTAGTCCAATCCCCTCCTCACACAGGAGACCCTGTACTAGGGATTCGAACCACCGACCTTTCGAGTGGTGCTGCACACAGTGGCATTCTCCTTGCCCCCCCCCCCCAACTTGGCAGTCAGGCTTCTCCCCCTCCCTGCCAAGGGAGCCAAGCCCAGTTGGGTGGCACCCAGTTGTCTTTCGTGATGCCAGGGACTGACTAGTAGCACGAGAGCCAACTGGATCGGGTGCCACCCAACCGGACTTGGCTCCCTGAGGGGGAAGGGGACGGCTGCCTGCCAAGGAGAGGGTCACTGCACGCAACGCCGCTCAGAAGGTCAGTGGTTTGAATTCCTAGAACGGGTCTCCTGCGTGAGCAGAGGGTTGGACTAGATGACCTTCAAGGTCCCTTCCAACTCTGTTTTTACTGTTTACTGGCTGGCTTCCTCACCCAGGAGTAGGCAGCTGGGCATAAGCATCAGCTGAAGGGGGGGGGGGATGGAAAGGAAGTACGGAAAGTGGTTTTGGGGGGAATGGGCAGAGGAGAATGGGGACAATAGGACGGGGACAGTAGGCAGGCTGATGGGCTTATGCCCACCCCCTTTACGGACCTCTTAGGAGTGGGGTTGAGGTCCACGGTGGACAGTTTAAAGTTGAAGCTGTGGGGGTTAGAGGAAGTAACCACAGAGTCGGGTAGAGCATTCCAGGCGTTGACCCCTCTGTTGCTGAAGTTGTATTTTCTGCAATCGAGTTTGGAGCGGTTTGAGTTTGTATCGATTGTTTGCCCGTGTATTGTTGCGGTTGAAGCTGAAGTAGTTGTTGACAGGTAGGACATTGTAGCAGACAATTTTGTGTACTAAAGGCGGCGTAGTTCCAGGTGGTCCAAACCCAAATTTCGAGCCTGGTGGCATAAGGGATTCTATTGTGAGCAGAGGAGCGGAGGACTCTTCTCGTGAAATATCTCTGGACTCTTTCAATTGTATTAATGACCGGTGTACAGTGTAGATTCCAGGCAGATGGGCTGTATTCGAGAATTGGTCTGGCAAAGGTTTTCTCCCCTCTTTCTGGAGAGGGGAGGCTTCCTTTTGAATCTTGGTTCAAAACTCAGCGGGATCCTTCAACCCTTTCTCCTTTACAGCAAAACCTACGGGAACGTCCTGGTTCTTGACGGAGTTATCCAGTGCACCGAGAGAGATGAGTTTTCCTACCAGGAAATGATCGCCAACCTCCCGCTCTGCAGCCATCCAAACCCCCGGAAGGTGAGCGTTCTCCAGAGCCCGCTTGGCTTGTGGTTGGCTACCTGGGATGGGGACGGCTCCACAGGGTGTCAGGCCAGGTTTTACAGACAAAGCAGGTGTCCACGGAGCTCAGCCTCTTCTCTTGGTGTTGCTCTGCCCTGGCGCAGCCTTTTCCAAGTGGAGACTCCTTGTCTGGTCACAGCTGCCCCGTTGCGGGTAGTAGACAAAGCATTCCAATGTTAAATTTAAAGGTAAGGTGGAAGCAGTAGGCTCCATCCCCTATTTGGGTAGACCAGATTGCCCTGATAGACCAGTCTCACCAGAAAAAACACTTAAAGCATTGAAATGTTGGCCAATGATCCTTAATAGAATACCATATTTTTTCGACTATAAGACGCACCGGAGTATAAGACGCACCATGATTTTGAAGAGGTAGTTTTTTTTAAAAAAAAATTGCACTCTGCAGGCCTCCCAAACCCTCTACACGCCTCATTTTTTTGCAAAAAGGCGGGGGGGGGCATATATAGCTTTGGGAGGCTTGTAGAGTGCTCCTGGGGGCTGTGAGGGCCAAAAATAAGCAAAAAATGCCCCCCCTCTTTTTTTTTGCAAAAAAAAAGGGAGGGCATGCAGAGGCTTTGGGAGGCTTGTAGTGTGCTCCTGGGGATGGGCGGGGGGCAAAAATGAGTAAAAATGGCTCATTTTGTTCATTTTTACCCTCCCCAACCCCCAAGAGCACTTTGCAAGCTTCCCAAACCCTCTGCATGTCCATTTTTGCAAAGGGGGCGGGGTTTTAGGAGGCCAAAAATGCTGTATTCAGTGTTTAAGACGCACCCAGATTTTCACCCTCTGTTTGGGGGGGGGGGGGGGGGGGGGGGGGGGGGGGGGGGGGGGGGGGGGGGGGGGGGGGGGGGGGGGGGGGGGGGGGGGGGGGGGGGGGGAAGATGCGTCTTATACTCTGAAAAATACAGTAGATTATAGAATTCCTTATTGACACACAATGAGTTTGTCTCGAGGAGTGTGATTGGACACACAAGGAGTTTGCCTCCGGTGCAGAAGCGCTCGGTGTACATACAAGCAGCAAGTGATGATAAATCGCGATCCTCGTTGATTGTTTTTTCACGCATCTGGTCCTCATGGCCCAAAGGTGCTTTTCTGTTTTTTCTTTGAAGACGTTTCGCTTCTCATCCAAGAAGCTTCTATATAAACGTCTTCAAAGAAAAAAAAAAAGTGAAAGTCCAAGTTGCCTCTTGAAAAAAGCGCCTTTGGGACAACCATGAGGTGGGTGACTGAGAATCTCCATAGACGTCTAGTCCTCATGGAGAGAAATCTCTGTTGCAATGCCCACTCTGTGATATTAACACACATACACACCGAGATCCATTGGGTTCTCGGTGTGTGTGATGTTTAAAAAGTGATGTTTAAAAAGTTGCTGAAACGCTAGCTGCTCCCCCAAGCCTTGAGGGACTGGGGGTGCCAATCCCTGTAGAATTACATCTTAAGTATTTGTCTCCTAGTAGAGGCCCCCAGTATGTGCCCTTTTTTCTGCTTTTAACACTGTAAGCTCCCTTGGGGATTTGGGTGGCCTCTAAATCCACTTAAGGCTTTGATGGAAATTTGGCTTGGCGCTTGAGGCTGCACCTTCTCCTTTTTATCCAGATTCTGATTATCGGTGGTGGCGATGGAGGAGTCTTAAGAGAAGTAGTGAAGCATCCTTCGGTTGAGTCGGTAATACAGTGTGAAATTGATGAGGTATGCCTTGGTTTGCAAAGCCTGGTTAACTCTGGGAGTTGGTCTGGTGTCTTCTGCATGAAAATCGGACACTGGGGCTCCAAATGGCATGGATGTGTTTTACCAGTAAGGAGGTGTATGTGTCTAGATCTGTGATGAAGAACCTCTGGAGCACATATGATTTTCACATTTCCAGAAGGCCAGAGGAGGCTGTTTTCGCTCTCCCAGGCCTCAGGAAAGCCTCCGGAGGCTGGGAAGGGGTCTCTTGCACATGCGCTGGAGGGGGGGGGGCGCATGCACAATTGAGTGGGGAGTTTGAGTGGGCAATTTTGACACGCCATAAGAAAAAGGCTCACCGTCACTGGTCTAGATGTATTTTTATTTCACTTTGAGAGATCAGCGTAAGATAATATTTAGCACTATAGACCAGTGTTTTTCAACCACTGTGCCGCGGCACACTAGTGTGCCG